ACAGGCACGTTCCTCACCACTTCGTTGAAGAGGGAGCTGCCCGCGTCCACGAACTGCCTGATTTTGGACATTTGCTTCGGCTTCCTGCCCTTGTAGCAGAGCAAGATGACCGCGTGCGAGCGCGAGTCCGCCAGGCCTCGCTGCCTCTGGAAGTGGCCGCACTGCTGCATCTGCTTCGTGTTGTAGGCGAGGTGGCACGTGACCGTGCAGAACTTGCTTGCGGCGAGGATATTCTGGATATTCGGGAGGTTCGACTGCGAGCGGCCCGTCAGCACCCACAGCACATCCCGTCCACCTACCATCAGCGGTTCCAGGGACTTCAGGTAGCGTGTGAAATCCACCTCGTCCAGCCAGACTTGGGATATCTGGATATGACAGCCTGCTTGCGGAGGCAATCACTGCTGCGGAATAATGGATGATGATGGCGACGCAATGAACGGATCGCCCCTGGCCTTACCGACCCCGCCCGACGCGTGGGGACGCTAGGCCGTCGGAAACGAATTGAACATTTGTTCAACGCGACGCAATATTACGCCCTCGCCCATCCTGCACCGCCCTTCGAGGAGGCCAGAAAAGCCTCCAAGACGGCACCAGACGGGGGGGGGCGACGAGGGCCCCAAACTATTCCCCAAGCCTACAAGCCCCGTTTGGTCGAAGGTCCCCAGGCTGGCCACGAGACGGCCCGAGAGCCCCCCCCCCCCCCCCCCACACGCACACACACACACACACACACCACACACACACACACACACAAACACACACACACACACACACCACACACAACACACAACACACACACACACACACACACACACACACACGCCCACCCACCCACCCACCCACCCACCCCAGGCGCGCCAAAGGGAGCCTCCAGAAGCCGAAATCACTTGATTCGAATCGTTTTCCTTTGGTTTCCCACACAAAAACGCATCCTCGAGGACACCCAACCTTGTTCAACCCAAACCTTGTTCAACCCCAACCTTGTTCAAGGCTGGGGCGCAGTTTTCCCGCCATTGGCCACCTGCTACGCCTGCCGACCCCCGCGACCCATGGTCTCCCCGCGGCGACTTCGACGCACGCGCGCACCCAAGCGTCAAAACGCAAGAGGCTGCCAAAAAAGCACTCGTGACAACCGCGCAAAACCCCTCACATTCCAAGCGCAACCACAGAGCCCCCAAGAAGTTTCAAGAACGGCCCGCGGCGCCGCGACAAAAAGCCGGGGTTCGGCAGCGCCAGACACCAAGATCGCCGTCTCGCACCCCCCACCCCCCACCCGCGTCTTTGAGGGGCACCGCAGCGCCGTGACACGAAAGCTGTAGCTCGGCAGCGCCAAACCCCAAGGATGTTGCCGCGCCCCACCCCCCCGTTCCACCCCGCATTTTTGGCGCGCGACACAAAAAATAAGGTTCGGCATCGCCACCGCGGCGCCGTGACAGAAAAAAATATGGTTCGGCATCGCCAAACCCCAAGGTTTTTACCACGGCACTTCCCCGTGTCTTGGAGGGGCCCCGCGGCGCCGTGAAACGAAAGCTGGGCTTCGGCAGCGCAATGCCAAGGATTTGCGCCACGCCCCCCCCCCCCCCCGGCGCCCTGGAGGGCGCCCGCGGCGCCGTCACAACAGAAAGCTGGGGTTCGGCAGCGCCAAACCCCAAGGTTTTTGCCGCGGCGCCCCCTGCCTTGGACGGGCCCCGCGGCGCCGCAACAAAAAAGCTGGGGTTCGGCAGCGCCAAACCCGAATGATTTTGCCGCGCCCCCCCCCCCCCCCCCCCCCGAGTCTTGGACGGGCACCGCGGCGCCACGACAATTAAGCTGGCGCTTCGGAAGCGCCAACCCCCCCCCCCCCCGTGCGTCTTGGAGTGGCTTCGCGGGGCCGCGCCAAACAAAAAACAAAAAAAAAAAAAAAAAAAAGTTCGGCCGCGCCAAACCCCAAGGTTTTTTCCACGGCAAACCCCCGCGCGCCTTGGACGGAGCACCGCGGCGCCGCGCAAAAAAAAACTAAGGTTCGGCCGCGCCAAACCCCAAGGTTCTTGCCGCGGCACCTCCCCGTGTCTTGGAGGGGCACAGCGCCCGCCGCGACAAACATAAACTAAGGTTCGGCAGCGCCAAACCCCGAAGATTTTGCCACGCCCCCCCCCCCGGCGTCTTGGACGGGGCCCCGCGGCGCCGCGACAAAAAAGCCGGGGCCCAGCAGCGCCAAACCCCAGGATGTTTGCCACGCCCCCCCGCGTCTTGGAGGGGCCCCGCGGCGCCGTGACAACCAAAAAAAAAGTTCGGCAGCGCCAAACCCCAAGGTTTTTGCCATGGCACCCACCCGCGCCTTGGACGGGGCACCGCGGCGCCGCGGCAAAAAAAAACTAAGGTTCGGCATCGCCAAACCCCAAGGTTTTTGCCGCGGCGCCCCCCCGTGTCTAGGAGGGGCACAGCGCCGCCGCGACAAAAAAAGCTGGGGCTCGGCAGCGTCAAACCCACCGGATTTTGCCACGCCCCCCCCCGCGTCTTGGACGGGGCCCCGCGGCGCCGCGACAAAAAAGCTGGGGTTCGGCAGCGCCAAACTCCAAGGATTTGGCCACGCCCCCCCCGTCGCGTCTTGGAGGGGCCCCGCGGGGCCGCGAGGCAAAAATTAAGGTTCGGCATCGCCAAGCCCCAAGGCTTTTGTCACGGCACACACACACCCGCGCCTTGGACGGGGCACCGCGGCGCTGTAGCAAAAAAACGGTTCGGCATCGCCAAACCAAGGTTTCTGCCGCGGCACCTCCCCGTGTCTCGGAGGGGCACAGCGCCGCCGCGGCAAAAACAAAACAAAAAAACTATGGTTCGGCAACGCCAAACCCCACGGTTTCTGCCACGGCACCCCCCTCCCCCATGTCTTGGACGGGGCCCGCGGCGCCGCAACGGAAAAAGCGGGGGTTCGGCAGCGCCAAACCCCGAAGATTTTGCCGCGCCCCCCCCCGCGTCTTGGACGGGGCCCCGCGGCGCCGCGACAAAAAAGCCGGGGCGCAGCAGCGCCATGCCCGGGATTTTTGCCGCGCACCCCCCGCGTCTTGGAGGGGCCCCGCGGGGCCGCGACAAAAAATTAAGGTTCGGCAGCGCCAAACCCCAAAGTTCTTGCCGCGGCACCTCCCCGTGTCTCGGAAGGGCACAGCGCCGCCGCGACAAAAAACACGGGGGCTCGGCATCGCCAAACCCCAAGGTTTTTTTTTACCACGGGCGCCCCCCCCCCCCCCCCCCCCGCGCATTGGAGGCGCCCCGCGGCGCCGCGACAAAAAAGCTGGGGTCCGGCAGCGCCGAGCCCCAACCCGGCAGCGCCAAACCAAGGATTTTTGACGCGCCACCCCCCGCGTCTTGGACGGGGCCCCGCGGCGCCGCGACAAAAAAAGCTAAGGTTCGGCAGCGCCCAACCCCAAAATGTTCGCCGCGCCCCCCCCCCCCGCGTCTTGGACGGGGCCCCGCGGCGCCGCGACCAAAAAAATAGGGCTCGGCAGCGCCAAACCCCAAAGTTTTTGCCACGGCACCTCCCCGCGCCTTGGACGGGGCACCGGCCCACCTTTGACAGAAAAGAGGAAAAATAATTATATATTTATATATATATATATATGTATATATATATATATGTATATATATGTATATTATATATTTATATATTAACACAAAAAAAAAAAAAAAAAAAAAAAAAAAAAAAAAAAAAAAAAAAAAAAAAAAAAAAATGAGCTCGGCATCGCCAAACCCCAAGGTTTTTGCCACGGCACCCCCCCCCCCCATGTCTTGGAGGGGGCCCGCGGCGCAGTAACAAAAAAAAGCCGGGGATCGGCAGCGCCAACCCCCAGGGATTTCGCCACGCCCCCCCCCCCGCGTCTTGGACGGGGCCCCGCGGCGCCGCGACAAAATAGCAGGGGTTCGGCAGCGCCAAACCCCAAGGTCTTTGTCGCGGCGCCCCCCCGTGCCCTGGAGGGGCCCCGCGGTGCCGCGACAGAAAAGTTAAGGTTCGGCCGTGCCAAACCCCAGCGGTTTTTGCCGGGGCACCCCCCCGCGTCTTGGAGGGGCGCAGCGCCGCCGTGAACAAACAACAAAAAAAACAAACAAACAAAAAAAACAAAAACTGCTGTTCGGCAGCGCCAAACCGAGGTTTTTGCCACGCCCCCCCCCCCAACCCGTGCGTGGGGGGTGTCTGTGAAGTATGCTGCACAGTAGTTTCGGCCACGTTCGCCGGACACGTTGCGAGGGGTGTCCGAAACCACAATCCCACTAAATGGGATAGCAAGTTCGCAGTGTAAATATGTAGCGAGCGCGCGGTACAGATTTGAGCCGATTTCCGTGCAGCGTCGCCACTGCGTTGAATAGGCCCAGGAGAGTAACGGTCTGGACGGGCCGAATCTGCCGGGGAGGGAGAAACGTAACGAATTTCCCCCCTCCCGCTAGGTAGCAAAATAACTTTACAATCTATCGGCCACGCGGCCGGGACAGCAGCCGGCGTTAAAACTGTTAAATCAGTTTGTGATGTGTTGCGCGGTGCGTGAGGCATGGCATGGCGCAGTTTTGCGTGGCTCTTGCATGCGCGGAGAGAGTGGCAACACCAACCCCGCGCCAGTTATATATGTGCACTGTTTGGCTCAAGGCTCGACGTCCGAGCGGAAAACCATGACAGAGGCGAGGGGCAACGAAGCGCGGCAACGCCGGTTGCTCCTCCGCCTCGCTACCACTTGCAACACCCTCCTTAGGCTTAGAATCAATTTGCCTCTTGATAGTTCCCTTCGCAATCCTCTTCCCATATCTCCTGCCATAGCCATGGAAATCCTACGTCTCAGAGCGCAGGGAGTGAGCATAGAACAGCTTGCGGAGGAATACGAACAATGAGCAACAATATGATGTCTTCTGCGCACCCGTTCGTGGACCAGCACCGGCTGATGTCCACAAGGGTTATGAGCCCAACAGCTTCGACGTCTACTTGGACCCCTTCGAGCGGCCCGCGGATCATTCGCACGTGCCACGCGTGCGCCGACGCGATGACAGGGCCCACTGTCACGTGCTCGGCGTGCCACGCGCCCGTGCACAGCCACTGCGTGGTGAGGCGCATGAGCTGCATGGTGCGCACGAGCTGCGCCAACGAGATGGACTTCGCCTTCGCGAACCATCAGGCGCAGCAGAGGATGGCGATGAGCTCCGCGGGCTTTGGGCGTTTCATGAGCGCCAGCGGCCAGCGCGCAGGGCAGGCCATCGGCGCGGTGGCCACCGGGGCCGTGGGAGGGGCGGCCAGGTTGATGACAGACTGCGCCTCGGGTGCCGTCTCGGCGATCCGGGGCACGCGCGCTGTGGAGCTGCCGAGCGCGCCTGCGCCGAAGCGCCCGCGCTTCCTCGAGCAGTTCGACATCTCGGACGCGGGCTCGGGCAGCGGCGTGCCGACCGAGGTGGCGGACGCGATGGCCGAGTTTAGCCGGATGCGCGCGGAGATGGAGGCTCTGAGGGAGGAGAACGCCAGGCTCCGAGGAGGGCGCGCAGCGTCAGCCCAAGGCGGGTACGCGACGCCTTCATCGCCTGAGCGGCCGGCGGAGGAGATAACCGAGGCCCAGGACGAGGGCATCGATGCCGCCTACGGCGCGGATTGGTCTCAGGCGGGAGGGCCTGCCGCGAGCGGTGCTGGGGGCAGTGCCGCCGAGACTCACGAGGTGAATGCCGCGCGCGAGGCGGCTGACACGATTGGCAGGCACGTCGAGGAGTTCTCCGTGCAGGCCTCGGCGCCGACGAGCGCCACGAAGCAGGAGCAGCCGCCAGGACTCGGCGCAGCTGCTCATGCCGGCATCGCGCCTGCAGGACATCCAGGAGGTGGTCATCCTCATGGCGGTGGTGTTCCTGGAGGCGCTGGTCTACCTGGAGGAGGTTTCGGAGGTCCTCCGGGAAGTGTCCCACCTTGTTCTGGCGGGCTCGGAGGGCATGGACTTGGCCATGGAGGTGGGTATCCTCATGGGCTTCGTGGCGGTGGCTTCGGACTACCAGGTGGACCTGGTGGCGGAGGTGGGCCCGGCGGTTTTGGAGGAGGACTTCCAGGAGGTGGTGGGCCCGGTCGTCCTGGTGGATTTGGCGGGCAGCCTGCAGGCGGAGGACCTCCACCACCACCGCCACCGCCGCCGCCGCCATATGACGCTGCTGCTGCCGCGGCGCCTGGCGGGCCGCAGCGCGACTTGTCGCTCGAGAGCACGCTCGCGAAGTTGAGGGCGGCCGACTTGCCGCACTTGGCTTGGAAGGGCGGCCCGGCCGCTAAACCAGGAGTCCTCGAGCATTGGATCCAGAGGGCGTCGCTCGACCTGGGGGGGATGCACCACCTCATCGAGCGCTACTGGTCGCAGGTGCTGGGCGTGGTGGTGGAGACGTACGAGACGTATCTCCGCCATGGGCCCTTGGACCGCCCCGCGATCAGGCCCACGCAGCCTGCGCAGTTCCCCCTCAGCGAGACCGACGCCGTGAACTTCCCCAGCGTGGAGCTCCGACTTCGGGGCCTGCTGCTCGCCCTCGTGCCGGAGGACGTCAAGCAGGCATGCCTGAGTACGAGGCAGACGAGCACCACCGATATCCTATTCAGCGCGCACGTGTCGGCTGGCCCGGGCACGGGCGCTGACAGGGACCACGCGTTGGAGCAGGTGTCCAAGGGGAGGCACGTAGACGTGAAGTCCACCTACGACGAGCTGCAGCGCTGGAAATTCAGCGCGAACCGCCTCGCCACGCTAGGCGTCGCGGCCCCCGACCCCAGCAAGCAGCTGTCGTCTCTGAAGGCGATCGCGCACAAGATGCTGGAGTCCAACGAGGAGGTGAAGCACCGCTACTTCGGCTTCCTCGTGACTCGTGGTCTCAGCGGTGGAGTGGCTAACCAGGCGCAGGTTGACGAGCTGTGGCGCTATCTCAGCGCGGAGGCGAGGGAGTTCGCCGATGCGGCGCCGCAGAAGGACGACCCTGCGGCGAAGCTCGCGATAGAGCGACGTCTGAAGGGGGAGCCCAAGGGGCACCCAAAGGGAGGTAAAGGCGACCCCAAGGGTGGAAAGGGCGACACCAAGGGGAAGGACGACAAGGGCGGCAAGAGTAAGACCGACCAGAACTCGTCCAAGACTGGTGCGAAGAAGCTCTGCACCTTCTTCGAGAGCGCGGGCGGGTGCACTAAGGGAGCATCGTGCTCCTTTGCGCACCGGAAGCTTTCTCCGTCGGATGGGAAGTGCTTCAATTGCGGTTCGACCGAGCATCGCAGCGCAGACTGCACTAGGCCTCGCGCTGCCACGAGGGTTGCTGCGCCGACGCCGTCTCCGGCGAGTGCTGGGGCGACTTCGGCATCGACTGCGGCTGGCGGACCGTCGGTTGCGCGGGTAGCGGCTCAGACGGCGCGCGCCGAGGTCCGGGCTGAGCTGATGAGCCTGATGCAGATGGGCTCTGGGACGCCGTCTGGTCAAGCTGGGCACGCGGACGCCGACTTCTGGAACGCCGGCGACCCGAAGGCCAAGATGGTGAACATCAAGGCCAAGGCGATGATCGTGAACGGGGAGCGGTACCTCCTGGCGGACACGGGCGCCACGCACGAGCTGAAGGGCGTCAAGGACTTCGACGACCTCGGCGACGACGTGCGGACGGCGCAGCTGGAGACGGCCACAGGCTCGCATGATGCGCGCATGGTCGGCGACACAGTGTTTGTACTAGGTGAACATCTACAAGGTTTATTCCCACTTGCGTCGCACGTGGAGTCCATGGGGCTGGAGATGGAGTGGAACCCTCGGCGGTGCGGAGCGCACGTGGGGAACGAGTTCGTCGACCTCCACCGGGAGAACGGCAGCATCTACATCAGCGAGAAGAACGCGGAGATTCTTCGAGCGGCTCGCCGGGCCCAGCTTCGGGAGAAGTTCAGGGCCTCTATGGCGGCTTTGGCGACGAACCTCAGGACTTTGACGAAGCTCCGCGAGCGCCAGGAGGGCGGGCACATTCACTTCGACGTGAACTGCCCGCAGTGCCGCGGCGCCCACGGCAGGATGCGCCAGCATTTCCGCCACGATGCCAGTACGCGCCTGGGCGGGCAATTGAGCATCGACCTGAGCGGGCCGCACCTCCCGGGACGCTGGCCATCGGGACGGTCCGAGGACACGGGCAGGATGGCGCAGCACTTCCTCTTGGGGGCGTTCTCGGTGGCGACCGCAGCCGACACGCAGAATCGAGCTGATCGTGAAGGAGAGGCTCGCGAGGCAGCCGGAGTACCCGATGATGTGCCCGAGGTCAGCTCCACGGGTGTTGCTGTTGATGGCGACGTCAGGCAGCTGGCTGCTCGAGTCGCTGCCGCATTTGAGGTGTCGGAGCTCGGTGAGCTGCGCCTCAGAAGCGACCACCCCGGCCTGATGGCAGCGAGGCCCGCGCAGGCGCCCGACCGCCCCCAGGACGAGGAGGAGGACGCGGAGGCCGAGGTCGCACCAGGGGGCGCCGGAGCCAGCTCGGAGCCCGCCAAGACGCGGTATTTTGCGGTGCCCTTGGAGAACAAGCGCTTCGAGACGTGCAAGAAGGGGCTGGAGCAGATCTTGGCCATGATTCGGTCCGAGTTCGAGGGCGCGAACGTGATGCACCGCATCCACGGCGACAGGGCGAGCGAGCTGACAGGCACCAAGTCGAAAGAGCACTTCGCTAAGCAGGGCATCCTGGTCACCAGCACGCCGGGGCACGAGCCGAACAACAACCCCCGCGCGGAGAAAGGGATCGGCCTCGTGAAGTGGAGGGCGAGGGCGATGCTGCTGAGCTTCACGGACCCCCGCGACAGGCAGGACCTGTGGCCCATGGCGGCGCAGCACGCGGCCTGGTGCAGCAGGATCTCGATGGCGGCTCAGGGGCGGCAGACGAACTGCCCTGCGTTCGGGGCCAAGGTCAGCTCGAGGGTGAATGATTTGCCCCACGACATGCTGAGCGAGAGAGCGGTGGACAGCATCTTCCTCGGCGTTGACCCCGAAAGCGCGCGGCTGGTTGGGCGAATCGACCCGAAGGCTTCTCGCCCCGAGGCGCGCTGGGCGATCGAGTCCTCGAGCTCGTTCGCGATCCACCCGGAGGCGGCGGCGTTGCCGAAGGAGAGCGCGGCAGATGAGCGAGGGCCAGGAGGAGCAGCACAGGAGAGTGAGGAGGCATTGAGGCCAGGAGGCGGATCAGGAGCGTCAGCAGGAGGGGGACCAGGAGCGCCGCAGCACCCACAGGAGAGCGAGGAGGCATTGAGGCCAGGAGGAGGATCAGGAGCGTCAGCAGGAGAAGGACCAGGAGCGCCGCAGCACCCACAGGAGAGCGAGGAGACAGCGAGGCCTGGAGGAGGACCAGGGGCAGCAGGAGATGAACGTGACGATCGTGAGGACGTTCTCGGCGAGGTGCTGCCCAAGGACATCAGCTGCCCAGCTTGCCGGGGCCAGCACAGGAGCCATACGAGGGACGAGCATTGCCGGCTCGGCCCACTTCTTCGGGACGATGGCCGTCCAGGTGCTTTTGGGCGCGGAGGTGGCGACATCTACTCGCGCCCAGCGTGCCGAAGACGGCATGTCGCACATTCTCGTGACCATCGGTGCCGACTCGGGTCAGGAGCAGGAGGAGGACGTGCAGGAGGAGCTCATGAGTCGGGTCGTGCGTCGTCGTCGCCACGCCTTGCATCCGGATCGACTGGGCGGCCGACGATTCGCACCTTGCCGTCTTCTGGACCCCCTGTCAGCCTCCTCATGCACCGCGACTGCATGAACACGCGCGTCGCGTTCTTTGCCGCCGTCGGCGCCCTGGACGAGGGGGGGGAGGAGGAGGACGACGACGACGACATTCCACCTATCTTCCAGGAGATCCAGCGCGAGAGCGGTATGACCCTGACGCCGATGAAGACCCTAAATGCCGCCTTCGGCTCGGAGCGCGAGGAATGGCGCCAAACTTTGGAGGCGGAGCTCATCTCCATGACGGAGAATGAGGTCTTCAGGAAGCTCTCGGGCCCAGAGCTGCGAGAAGTACGGCCTCGAGACGTGCATCCTATGAAGGTGGTGGCTGGGGAGAAGGCTGCAGATTCTACCGGATACCGGAAGAAGAAGGCCAGGGGCGTCGCGCGCGGCAACTTCGAGGACGAGTCGGACGAGCCGGTGTACTGCAGCAATTTGGACATCGCATCGCTGAGGGCTTCATTGGCGGTGGCCTGCAAGAATGGCTGGAGCCTCGGGGTCATGGACGTGTCGACCGCGTTCCTGAACGCTCATTTGCCTATGGGGCACAAGCGTGTCGTCGTCAGGCCGCCTGCTGTTTTTGTCCGGTACGGCTTGGTTCCAGAGGGCGAGCTGCGGGTGGCGGAGAAGGCCATCTACGGACTGAGGGTCAGCCCGAAGGCCTGGAGCGACAAGCGGGACGCTGATATGAAGTCGCTCGTCGTGGATATCGGGGGCGAGCCGCACGTGCTGCGGCAATCGACTGCTGATCCGGCGGTCTGGGCCGTGGTGCCGCAGCAGGGCGGCGACGTCGATGGCTACGTGCTGGCGTACGTGGACGACTTCTTGATGATGGGGTCGGACTCCGCAGTGATAGCCTTGAGGGACCAGCTGGGGAAGCTCTGGCGCACGAGCTCGCAGCCGATCGTGAGCAGGTCGGCACCCGGCACGCTCCGGCACCTGAGCATCGACATCGAGCTCAGGGCCGACGGCACTCTGACGCTCGGGCAGCGCCGGTACACCGAGGAGCTGCTCGAAAAGTGGGGGATGCTCCATTGCAATGGGACGGGGAACATCAACTTCGAGAAGGAGTCTTTCGAGCACTTCATGGCCACCTCCTCCAGGGACGATGGCGACGACGACGAGGCACCTGAAGTGAAGCTGTCCGATGTCCGGCTGGCCCAGAAGATGGCCGGAGGCCTTTTGTGGCTGGCCTCCCGGACGCGCCCAGACATAGCGCACGCCGCGTCGCGGGTGGCTTCGATAGCGACCACCCGCCCGCCGACGAGCCTCTGCTTCGGCAAGAAGGTCTTGAGGTACTTGTCCAGCACTCGCCGCATGGGGCTCTACTACCTCCCCGGCGGCGGAGGCGGAGGTGGAGACGACCAAGGCGACGGCGGCGAGCAGGACCCGGAGGCCGCCTTCGCCCAGACATTCGCGGACGCTTCCCACGAGGACGTGGAAAAACCCAGACAGGGGTTGCTACGTATCTTGACGGCTGCCTGATCGATTGGAGGTCGGTCAGGCAACAATTGGTAGCTTTCTCCACTTGTGAAGCCGAGGTCAATGCACTTGCCATGGGCGAGAGCATGCAATCGTCAGTTGTGGCAACTCTGGAGAGCATGCAGATCAAGTGCTGTGCCGTTCTGTATGGAGATAACAGCGCCGCCAACCAGATTGCGACTGGCAGGGGGACGTGGCGCACGCGGGCCCTCTCGACCAAAGTTAACGCGATTCGTTCGCGTGTCGAGCGAGGTCTTTTGACTCTCCAGTTCGTCGCCACATCTTTTATGAAGGCCGACGGGCTGACGAAGTGCGGCGGAGTACCGCACGCGCAGCGCACCAGAGGCCATTTTGGCCTTCGCCCGCTGTGAGCCTCAGCGTTCACAGGTTTTGCGGGCCTCTTGCGCCCCACACCGCGCCGGGCTGCGCCGGCGCGAGTGCGGAAGATCGCAGCTGCCCGCCGCGACTCCCGAGGAGGAGCGCGTGTGGGGGGTGTCTGTGAAGTACGCTGCACAGTAGTTTCGGCCACGTTCGCCGGACACGTTGTGAGGGGTGTCCGAAACCACAATCCCACTAAATGGGATAGCAAGTTCGCAGTGTAAATATGTAGCGAGCGCGCGGTACAGATTTGAGCCTATTTCCCTGCAGCGCTGCCACTGCGTTGAATCGGCTCAGGAGAGTAACGGTCTGGACGGGCCGAGTCTGCCGGGGAGGGAGAAACGCAACGAATTTCCCCCCTCCCGCTAGGTAGCAAAATAACTGTACAATCAATCTTCTATCGGCCACGCGGCCGGGACAGCAGCCGGCGTTAAAACTGTTAAATCAGGTTGTGATGTGTTGCGCGGTGCGCGAGGCATGGCATGGCGCAGTTTTGCGTGGCTCTTGCACGCGCGGGGAGAGTGGCAACACCAACCCCGCGCCAGTTATATATGTGCACTGTTTGGCTCAAGGCTCGACGTCCGAGCGGAAAACCATGACAGAGGCGAGGAGCAACGAAACGCGGCAACGCCGGTTGCTCCTCCGCCTCGCTATCACTTGCAACACCCTCCTTAGGCTTAGAATCAATTTGCCTCTTGATAGTTCCCTTCACAATCCTCTTCCCATATCTCCTGCCATAGCCCTGGAAATCCTACGTCTCAGAGCGCAGGGAGTGAGCATAGAACAGCTTGCGGAAGAATACGAACAATGATCAACAATATGATGTCTTCTGCGCACCCGTTCGTGGACCAGCACCCGCTGATGTCCACAAGCCCCCCCCCCCCCCCCAACGTCTTGG